GACATCCAAGCAGCCAAATGCAACACCTCCTTCCCTTCTGTTTCTCTTTTCTTATCTTTTGTTCCCAGGCTCGTTGGGGATGGAGCCAAGGGCTCTGGCATGCCAGACAAGGGCTCTGCCATTGAGCTATGCCCCTTTTCCTCTATCTGTTCTCGATGGGGGGGGGGCATGGTTCTCTCCTTCCCCTGAACTCTGGACTCCAATGCCACCCCCACTTCCTACTGCATCAATTATTCACTCGGCTCTAGATCTTCGCTTAGCCTCCCTTGGCTTGTTTCCCTCAGCACATAGGCAAGATCATATCCTGTCCTAGAAGATGAAAACCTTGGTTCCGTGATTTGATGATGCTCTCTGTACCTACATCTGCCTTCTTTCCTTCTCTCCAGGGGTGAGTAGGTCATTTCCCCCAACACTCTCTGACCCCACCCACCCCTCAGGTTTCTGTGACCTGTTCCTATCCCTACACTGTTCTGGCACTGTTCCAGATCAGCCCCAGTGACCTGCCAGCTCTGGTTCTATTTCCTTTCTTATCAGCCTTGGCACCGTCTCCAGAAAGCTGTCCCTCCTGCTCCAGCTCTTCTGAGACACAGGTGTTCCTCTCCCTCTCCAGGTCCCTTTCCAAGTCGCCACAGGAGGCTTTTCCTCTTCCTCTCTGGGAATTGCCATTTTGGCCTCTTGCTCCTGCCCTCCTGCCTGTATCTTGTTAACCAATTTTCTCTCCTGTGGTTTAAATGACCATCTATGGATGTGAATGTCATACCTTTGGTGACCTAAATTTATATTGCCAGCTATCTTCTAGATGTTTCTATTTTTATGGCCCTTCAAATTTAATATGCCCTGAGTCGAATTCACCATCCTTATGTATTTCCACAAACTACCTTTTCTCTATTTTCTCTCTCAGCGGAGAGATGGTGCCAACCACCTCTCAGCTACTCAGGAGCTTGCCAAGCTTGTTCATCATCCCCTGATCGACTCTGGTGCCAGGTCCTATTAAATTCACCTAAGTATCTCTTGAATCCATCTGTTCACCTTTCTCAGCTTCTGCTGAACTCAAACCTTTTTCGCCTCTTTCCTGGGCATCTCAGCAGCATCTGGATGCTTCCTCCTGGGAAGCTTAACCTCCCCCGCCCAGTCTTCTTTTTCCCTTTGGAGATGTGGTCTGGCTGTTTAGCCCAGGATGGTCTCAACTCACAATTCGCATTCGCCTGCTCCTGCTCCCTGGATTAAAGAGGTGCACCGACATATACAGCCTTATTACTTTGTTGTTCTTAAGTGTCGTTTTCAAATGAAAGAATAACATATTCTTATTTAGTCAAACGATTGGAGGATTATTAAGGTAATAAGGAACAGTAAGGTCACCACTGCTCTCAAGCAGTCCTCAAATCTAACCCCTAATACACAGAACATATTCTTCCTTTTTACCTTCCTTCCTTTCATTTTTTTTTTTTTTTTTTGTTTTTCAAGACAGGGTTTTTCTGTGTAGCCCTGGCTATCCTGAAACTCACTCTGACCAGGCTGGCCTCAAATTTACAAATCCACATGCCTCAACCTCCTGAGCGCCCAACTCATTTTTTCTTTTTTCTTTCTTTCTTTCTTTCTTTCTTTCTTTCTTTCTTTCTTTCTTCTTTCTTTCTTTTTTTTTTCGAGACAGGGTTTCTCTGTGGTTTTTTTGGAGCCTGTCCAGGAACTAGCTCTTGTAGACCAGGCTGATCTCGAACTCACAGAGATCCACCTGCCTCTGCCTCCCAAGTGCTGGGATTAAAGGCGTGCGCCACCACCGCCCGGCTCATTTTTTTTTCTTTAAAGAAATATTTTATTTTTACATCCTGCAATTCCCCCCTTCCTTTCTTTGATATAGCCCTGGCAGGTCTAGAATTCGACTATGTATTCCAGGCTGACCTGGAATTAATTCATTGAGATCCATCTGCCTCTTCCTTCTGGGTGTTAGGATTAAAGGCATGCACAAGGCTTATGTATTTATTTATTTTGAAATTCCTGTATTTTAAGAGGTACTTTTTTTTTTACATTTTAATATCTCTGATGCAGTCTTCAGTTTGGTTAAATTCAGCTGTGCATTGTGTCATTTTTATTCATTCTGATATATGTGCTTTTTAACCATAATTCTAAATTAGTGTTTACTATCAGATCTTTCTAAAATGCAAATCTGATCTGGTTGCAACTCTGGGAAATTCTTAAAGGGCTCTCTGCCTTGGGGACAGGGGTTGTCTATCCCTCCCCATAACTCTCCCTCCTCTGGCCCCCACCTTCCTACACATCTGCACCCCTTCTACCTTAAAGCCAAGCAGCTATATTTGCAGTTAGTTCCCCAAAATATTTGAGCAAAGCCAGAGCCCTCTGCCCAGAAGTATCTTCTGTCTTAAAGGTCTTGCTTACTTTTTTAAAATGCAAGTGATCACTCACTGAGCCAAGCCTGAGCTCTTCCTTCCTGTAACCCCTGAACCCCAGCTTATGGTACACGCTGCTCCTAAATCAGGTTAGCATGCAAACTCATCTCATTTCTCTGGTCTTTTAACACCAACACAGAGTTCCATATAT